GACAGCGGTCTCCCTATAATAAGATGGTTCTGCTTGAACCCTCTAACTCCCAGTAGTGATTAACATCTAACTTCTCATTATACTATCCCAGCATTTCTAACAAATGGGTACTGAGAATACTCTAACTTATCAAGTGGAAATTGTTATCTTGATCTAACATCAAATTCTCGTAACTTATTTACAAGGATATGTGTGGAAGCTAAAGAGGAGAATTGAAAATTAAATATTGGGAGTGAAAGGGTTCAGCTGATGATCAGGTACTGTGGTATTAAGACTGGCTATCTGTTTTAGGAATTTAATTGTAAAAAAAAAAGGGTTCGATCTAAATCGAAGTGATGGACCAGAGAAAAAATGTTTCAGGTGTTCCTTTATTGTAATGTAAGAAATACAATAAAAAGAAAGGGACTAGAACTAACTTAAGTGAAATATGACACAGAAAGCGCATGTTAAAGAAACATCTGTTGGCACTGTCATATAACTTCCATTTTACATCACGGCTCAATACTTGAATGATATCATGAATCATGGCGCGAGTTCAATGGACAGTGCCTCCATAATAAAAACGTCTCTTTTTGAGCTGACGATCTGGTACAGCTCTATACAGACTGGCTTTCTGTTTTATGAATTAATTGCTTCAAAAACGCCTACGGTCTGAATTGAGGTGATGGACCAGCAAAAGTAGCTATTCCTTCCTTCACATGTAATAGGTCAAAAAGGAAAACGATTAAATCTTATTTCAGTAAAAAGTGACATGGGAAAAAGAAAAATGTTTTTAATACTGAGGTACAAACTACTGTTATTGCGTCTTCAGTATTTGTATAATATCGTCCAAAATGACTTGAGATGAATGGGAACCGATTCCATACTAAAACGTTCCTGTTTAAATCAATGATCTGGAACACCTATATATGATGATTGACTTTCTGTATACGAATTCATAACTGTGAAAAAAAGGCTTTTGATTTTAACTTGATATGAGGAAGCTGAAAAAGTTATTTGTGGTGTTCACTTCTTTTTTGATAAGTAGTTTTTTGGAAAAGCTTTTCAAGATAAAAATTAGTGATAATAATTTTGAACGACGTTTCGACCTCGCTGAGGTCATTTTCAAGCTGATGAAAAGGAAAATTTAATACACATATGTACTAATCACTTCCATTTTACGCCTAGCGTTTACGTATTTCCATATTTTATCGCCTTTATCATTCTCACGTCTAGAATTTAGTACATATATGTAAAAAGTTTCCTTTTCATCAGCTTAAAAATGACCTCAGCGAGATCGAAAATTCGTTCAAAATTATTATCACTTCTTTTCGGTATGTAAAAACTCGATAAAGTAAACACACTAGGTCTATCTTCGGTGAAATGTGACACACTGTAGGGAGTAGAGCGCGGAGTTACTTGCAATGTCACACATACTTTTTTCTTTTACATCCTTTATAATCAAATGATATCGTCCTTTGTAGCGTGATTTGTATGACTGGTCAGCTCTTCCTTTATTAGAACTTTCATGTTAATGTTTAAGTTTATGATGCGGAACAATTGTATACATACTGTCTTCCTGGATTCGAATTTATTTCTGTCAAAAGGTTTTTGACATAAATTAAAATTGCGGGAGCAGCTAAAGTCATTTTACAGGTAATTCATATGTTTGTTTGTTTGTTTGTTTTTTAATGTAAAATATCGACGAAGGGAAAATATTAAATCTAATTTTGACGAAATGGGTAACATAATGTACCGGGTAAAAGACAGCTATATTACTACTGTCGCAACAATGAAAACTACTATTTTGCATTCTCAATATTTCAATTAAATGGTATTGCTCATCACGATGTGAGATGGATGGACAGGTCTTCTCTAATAAAAACCGATCATCCTTACACTAATTAAATGGGACTGCTTCATAAAGACTGGCTTTCTGTTTACGGATTCATTTCTATGGAGAAAGCGTTTTATCTGAAGAAACGCGAAGGAGCAGCAGGAGCCATATATCAGGTATTAATTTTCTTTTTCGTATATTTTAAAACTCGATAAAAAGAAAAAGGTGAAATTTAACTTTTACAAACAGAGACAAATACAGTACCGAGTAAAAGCTAAGTGTGCTAATAATATCACACGAACCATTATTTTTGCATCCTCAATATTTTGAGATATTGTCCATTGAAGGGCGAGAGATGAATGGCAATCTGCAAGTCTTACTTAATAAGGACGTCGCATTTAGCAAACAGTTTAACTGTTCGGCTGTTTGGGATAACACTTAGAAGGGAAAGAGAGAGAGAGACTACATCTGGCCCAGAAATTCGCGAAAATAAAATCCTCTTTCGCCTTTTCTTAATTATAATGTTCCTGTTTGAGTCAATGATCTCGAACACCTGTAGAAAGACTGGCTTCCTATCTTCAAATCTAGTGTTGTGCAACTAGGCATTCGAACTAAATTGAAGTGAAGAAAAACATAATATAGAACAATATAGAGCCATCCATATAGTGAAATATGGCACATAATGTTGTGGCAAAAGGTAAACGCACTGACACTGTCGCACAACTCTACAATCAACTATTTATCCATCCGCAATTTTCGAATAATATCGTCCATTGTGGGATGAGATGATTAGACAGCTATTTCTTAAAAAGGAAGTTTTAACTGAATGTTCTCGAATGCAATACTCGAAAGGCTGGCTTTCTGTCTTTGTATTCAATACTGTACGATAAATGCTTATTTCCATTGTTACATCTTGCGA